AGAGCATAAAACTGTGTCCAAGTGAGTGGGGGTAAAGCTGACGATCTGCATTCCACATAAGCTCTCCACCACTACTTAGCCTCACAATGAAGCTGGAAAGTCACAAACTCTACTCCATGTTGATAGACATTACCCAACTTATGCAACCTCTCATAACAATCCAAGATGAACTCATAGGTGTCTTCACTCTCAGAACCATGGAACACAAGCGGCTTCGATTTCAGAAACTTAGTCAGTAGCTCATGCTCATTACCAGTCATCACCGAACCCAATAGGGGACGGAAAAAGGCATTAGTGCCTACAGTTCCACCCACCTTGGGAATAGTGACAATAATATGGAGGGTTGGTGGGAGTTTGAGTTGCTTGAACTGAGGGAAGACCTCTAGGACCAACCAATCCTTTCAGAAAAGTCATAATCTGTTCAGCTACCACCGGATCCAAGAGAGGAATACCTGTAGTTTTGGCCTCCACCTCTTCCTCTTGTCCAACATCCTTCTCATTTTCAACCTTCACATTCTCCTCTATCTCTTTATAATGCGCAAGAGGATCCTAATTTCTGGGAGCATTCTCAACCGGAACTCCACCCCTAGCGGGTGCTACCCTTCCACGACCTATACCCCTTGCTCTTCCTATAACCCTGTCTCGACCACGACCTCTTGCTGTGGACTCCTAAGTGGGCTCATTGACGGCAGCTACGAGCCTGACGCCATTGAAGCGATTGTTAACCATCTGCAGACAGAAGAGTGAAGGAGGTTAGATACCAATTTGGATCACCAGATACCAATTGGAATCAAGTTACAGTATAAAAGGAGACAAGAGAGAACATAGAGATTTCTTAAAGTCCTATAACCTCTCGAACAAAAGTACAGACGTCTCCGTACCGTTCCGCAAGACTCTACTAGACTTGTTTTGGTACACCGAGATCAACGAACCTGGGGCTCTGATACCAATTTTGTCATGTCCCTAACCATCGTGATTGACAACCACACTAAACCTTCAGTGAGAGCACCATTACTACAACCCATCTAACAAATATTATGAGAATTAAGGCATTTAAAGATACAGAAGCAGGTCTAAATGCAAAAATAAACTGGAGTTTCCATAAACTCTGAAAGCTTAACAAACTATTACTAAACATTTGCGGAAACAACACCTAGAACCTGAAAGTCAATGTACTAAAACATCTAAAGTGCAACAAGTCTAAGAAAAATGGTACAACCCCAACCAAACATAGGCATATCTGGAGTACTAATATAAGTTCGAAGAAAATGGACTAAGCAAAAGAAGAACTCATGGAAGCCTGGAAGAACTGGCTCATCCTTGAATTCGGTATCAATCACTGATCTCCTAGCTGAGGTCTATCAATAGCCGTGTGAAGATGCCCTATACTCAACAAAGAACGAGCAAGTGCAGTATCAGTACACAACCACAGTGTACTGGTAGGATCACGCGGCTATTCCCATAAGTGAAACATATATAAGCAGTCACAACATAGTAAACATGACATGTACAGAATATATCCATAGTTATCATTTCAAGAGCAATGCACAAATCCACATTCTCAATAACAAGTAAATCTGAAAATTCAATGGTCCTCTCATGGAACCCATACCCAAACTGTTAGTGTACTGGAACGTGGCACCCGATCCCAATTAGTGTGCCGGAATGTGACACCCGATCCAATATATGTGCCGTAACATGACACCCGATCCAATATATGTGTCAGAACGTGACACCCTATCCAATCAACACAACCACAATCACATTCACACTCATAATGTACATACTCGTAGTCATACAATTAAGTGTTGATTCATTGCATACAATTGGTTATTTATACTCATTTCATTAGGTTTGATCAACAATGCTACATTCACATACATACATGCATTACAATGAAGCAATTACCAACATACATCACACAAAACATGAAATCAAACCATCACCTACCTCGAAACCAAGCTTGAACCCCCCTAAGGCACTTGAATCTTCCCTTTCTGGATTCTTTCTGTTTGTTCGTGGACTAAAACAACAAATTAATGCAAGGATCAATAAACGAGGCCGAATTACCCAGATTACAATCGAAATCACCAACCCTAGTCCAAAGACATGATCCTAAGGTGCAGCTAGGGCTTTTCCACCACCATCAATCCAGTCCAACTCCACCCCCCCCCCAATATTCATTTCTCATGAATCTAAGTTCTACGGATCGAAAAACAGATTAGGGGAGTAAAATTTACCTTTAGCACCAAAAGTCATAGAAAACTGTCAAGAAATTGCCTGGGGCCATCTCTTAGCTCTCAAGAACGAAACCTGCAGAAAAATAATGTTTTTGGGGTTTTCCCTTGACTTAATTTGCGACTGAGCCGCTACGGCGGACCCTATCCCGCCACAGCGACCCCGCCATATCGGAATAATCTTGCCACAACAGCTAACACGGAGATAAAGAGTCGAAATTTGAGTTCCAAACCCCCATTTGACAGCACCCTTCAACTCATGACATTCAAAAACTACCCGTTCATGCTAAGGTCAGTCGGGAGTTCTACTCCCCGAATTCGATTCTGTAAAGTCGTACGGGTTCCTTAACGTCTTAGCTATTCATTCATGTGATCAAATTCATTATTGAATCTCTCATTCATTACCAGATTTCCATAGACTTCGAAAGACTCAGATTTCATCCAAATCTGGACTAGGCTAGAAATTTCTAAGATACTACAAAAAGTTTTTTGGTCCCAATTCTTTCCCTGTTGGCTTTTCTATAACGACGGAAATAAATCGCTACAGAAAAAAGGAAGAAAAAGAAAATGTTGATAAAGGGATATTTAAAATACGTGGGTAAAATTTAAGAAAAAAAAGAAGATAAAGATAAAAAAAAGAAACTAGCAATCATCCCTAAATTCTGTCACCTAATTACGTAACTACCTTAATCTCTTAAAACTTAACTATATATTTTAATCTTCTTTCTATACAATAGGAAAGACAAAAGTGTCATGTAACATCATCACAAAAATAATTAAATTTTTGAGTTTGAAAAAATAATTAAATGTTTAGAATCTGAAAAAAAAGTGTCATCAACATAAATGTTTTCAAATTATCATATTTTAAAAAGAATAAATTTAAAAATTAAAATATTATAAATTTGTACTTTGCAAAATAGTATCACATGTCATCATCAAAATAATTCTTAAATTTTTAGTTTGAATATCTTTTAAAAAATATTTATCTCCAAAAAATATATTTTTAATTTGATAAATAATTATGTAAGAATTTGTAACATAAAACTGTCAAAAACAAAAACTTATAGTTATATATTATTAATAGTTTGCAATATTTTTCAAAAATTTAAATTTATTAATAGAAAAAATACAAAGAAATTACAAAACATCTAATGTACGTAGTCTACAATTTGATATTCTAGCGATTCAAACCATATAGTGTGATGCATAGCATTATCATGATCATAAGACTTTTCTTATTTATATTTTACTTTAATTTAACGACTAATTTATTAAAAATATTTATTATTCTAACAAGAGGATAATATGAATAAGAGTATTTATGATTTTGAAAAATTTAAAAATATATAAAATAAATGATGCTAAACATTATTATTGTCAATTTTAGACAATGAACTAATCTTATATTGATTTATTTACACAAATATGCTATAATAACAATCAAGATGCTAAATGTTAACATTATTTCAAATAAAATTTACTATATTATCTTATAATAAGTTAAATTTGAAATTGTCAACAAATCAATATTTATTATTATATTTATCAATAAAATGTGCAACGCGCGGGTACGCGTACTAGTAATAATAATAATAATAAAAAAAAAACAAAAAATTAAAAAAAAAAAAAACAAAAATAATAATAATAATAATATACTAATAAAAATACTTAGTAATAATAGTAATAATAATAATAATAATAAAAATAATAATAAAAATACTTAGTAATAATAATAATAATAAAAATACTTAGTAATAATAATAATAATAAATTACAAAAAATAATAATAATAAAAGTAAAATTATTAAACACTCTCCATATGATTTATTTTATTGAATCTCTTATTGAAAAGATACTTTACAATTGATATTAAATGTCATTGAGTATTTTTGGTTTAACATTTAGGTTGTCTAAAAAACAATCTTACATAAACAATATAATTACGTAATTTTTCTAATTTTATTGATTTTTCATTCACAAAAATTTTAAGTTGAAAATAATGATCATCTCATTGCATTTTTGAGGACCATAAAAATGCAAATAATAAATAAATATGAGTACAAGAAATATCAGGTACGTAGAAGTAAAAGAAAAGAAAAGAAAAAACAAAATCAAGAAACAATCAATTATCAGGAATTCAAGTCTTGTGTTAATTTTTCTAGTCATCTTCTAAAGTCTAAAATTGAAATCAAGATAAAGTCTAAAATTGAAATCAAGATTTTTAAAAAATAAATAATAAAAGTTAGGCATTAAGCCCTTTATTAAAATGGGTTATGTACAAGACCAGGCCCAAAAGTGGCCTGGCCTAAAAAATTAAAAACAATACAACACTTAAACATTAGCATCAAATTAGGAAAGTGACTGGAAGTCATCTTCCTTGGTGCTTTGCTCAAACATTGTTGGTGGCTTGTCAATTTGCTCTCTATTGTTGATGGTTGCACTACGTTTCCTCATGTAACAACTTGCTGCTTCACCATTAATGAAGCTTATCAACTCAACTCGGCTGTTGATAGATCGATTCACAGGTAATCATCTAAACTCTTATTAGCTGCACAAATGAGTCGATGTACTTCTCTGTCTCCTTATGTATTGTTTTAGCATCGTGGATTTGCTATCGTCACCATTATAGAGTTAGTTCGTTCTTTGTTCTTTTTTTTTTTTAGATTTTAATCTCGATGGGTTGAACCCCAAGTGGAGTTAATACCACCATCGATATCTAGATCTATAAAAAAAAATAAAAAAATTGAACTATTATTTTTGAAGGTGAATCCGCTCATTGGTACTGGTTACAAAGATTGCTTTAGCTGCTGTGATTCTTATCAGATGTGTTATGGTCTCAGGTACATTGTTTGCTCATATTTCAATACTCTTCAATTGTACTGATTCTTGTAGTACTTGAATTGCTATAACCTGCAGATGATATTTAATCACTAAGCACCAAGATTAATGTGTCTTGGTTTTATATCATTTGAAACACCTCAATCTCTCACCAGGTGCATGATAAGTTTAACCAACAGAACTTAGTTCAGACAACATTATGTACTTAGTCAATTAGTATCATCTGGCAGATTTTAGAATTTCAAGAAAAACCTGATTCTGCACTGTTAAGACCATGATTAGATTGTTGTGCATTTCCTTATCCTCAATTGTGGCGTGCTCTATTTATCCAAATTAATAATCTTCTTTGCTGTGCTTGGCATTTCCTGGAAAGTTTTGAATTCAAAGTTACCTGCAAAATGAAAAACCATGTTAGCTAAATAGTCCGCAAGAGTATTCCCCTCCCTCAAGGAGTGTTGTACTCTTGTTGTAATGGACTCCATCATTTTCCTTATAGAATTGACCTCCAATGTCACATTCCAAGGAATTTTCCATAGACCATTGATTATGTTCACTGCTGCAAGAGAGTCAGATTCTACAATTAACTTTGGAATATGATTTTCCAAACAAAATTGTAAGCCTGATCTTATAGCAATCATTTCAGCCACCAAATTAGTAGAATTAGGAAGCATGTTTCCTTGTGCACCAATTATATCCCCATGATGGTTTCTGACACAAAACGCAGCAGAACTTGGGCCTGGGTTACCTCTAGATGCCCCATCAGTGTTGCATTTCCACCACCCACAAGGTGGTGGAGACCATCTAACCCATTTAGTCTCGAACTTGGGTCTGAAACCCTCCATGGCAGGAACTATTTGAGGCTAGGTGTTTGGAGTTTGTTCAAGACCAAATTTACTTCTAAGCAGCTTCTGGACCATATAATTAATGTCCCAAATCAACTTGTTGGTATTATATGACCCTCCATGGAGGACTGAGTTCCTCCTTTTCCATAGGAACCACAAAATTATGGTAGGTACTGCCTGAAAAATGTACTTTTGCATAGGGTTCACCTTAGTTGTCCACCATATGTCCATAGTTTGCTTGATTTGTATCCAGGGTCCTAATAAACCTGCAGCATTAGAATAGTGTTGCCATACCTCCATAGCTATTTCGCCCTTTAGGAACAGATGTTCCAATGTTTCCTTTTCTGGTGTAACACAACAACTACAAAGTTCTGACAAATTTGGATTCCAAAGAGCTAAAACAGCTGCTACTGGTACCCTGTTTTTCCAAACCCTCCGACCAAAGAAAGATATTTTTAAAGGGATTTCCTTCATCCATATCTTCTCGAAATGTACATTTACATCATCTCTTCTTCTTAGTATATCCTATACACTCTTTATAGTGAATTTGCTAGTGCTTGTTTTAATCCACCATGTTCTATCCCCCTCCTCATTCTGTCTCACACGATCTAAATGACTTTTAACATTCTCAATGATATTATTAGGAATGTGTTGTTGCATGCTCTCATAGTCCCAGCCTGTATTCTGCATAAAAACTTCAATGTCCACCAAAGAGTGACAAGTTTGTACTTCTGTTTGATGTTTATATAATGGCCCAAGTTGGGTCCAATTATCATACCAAACTGATGAAGTACCTCTCTTAGGTTCCCACCACAAATATTGTTCAACTGCATCCCTATTTTGCAACATATATTTCCAAGCCTGAGATCCTCCCTTCCATTGAACAAGGGTTGGAATTTGTTTCTTACAATATTTATTCCACATGAAATTAGTCCAAGTAGAATTTTGTGTCCTGAATCTCCATCATAGTTTGGCATGCATGGCCTTTGACACTTCAAACAGAGATTTGAACCCCAAGCCCCCTTCATTCTTTGGTAAGCACACTTTCTCCCAAGCAGCCCAGTGTTTGCTCTTACCCTCAACCTTATTGCTCCAAAAAAACTTAGCAAAAATTTTGTGAAGCTCTTTCATCACACAATTAGGTGGTACAACAACAGAGAGGACATGAATAGGGACACTTTGTAGAACACCAGAAATAACCACCTCCTTTCCACCATACGAGAGCATCTGACCTTTCCAAGCCTGTAATTTAGATTTCACCTTCTGGATAAGCTCGGCATAGTGTGCCTTCCTTTTTCTAGCATGAGTGATAGGGCATCCCAGATACTTCAATGGGAATTAGCGACTAGACATGCCAGTGCACTCTTCCACTAGTTGTTTTTCTGTAGCTGCTGCATTTTTGGTGCATATATAAAGCACTTTTCTCCTTATTGATTTTCTGACCTGATTCCTCTTCATATGCCTGCAAAACTGAGTTTATCTTCTCCAAAGAATATCTGTTAGCTGAAGCAAATATAATAGTATCATCTGCATAGGCTAGGTGATTTATAGGAGTGCTCCACTTAGGCATGCCATAACCCACATACGAATCATCCTCAAATAAAGCATTTAAGGATCTAGAGAGAACTTCAGCTGATAGTATAAATAGAGCAGGAGATAAGGGATCCCCTTGCTTAACCCCTCTAGTGGAGTGAAAGAATCCATGGGATTGTCCATTAACCAATACTGAGTACCAATTATTAGATAATAATCTCCAGATTAGGTCCACAAACATTTCTGAAAAACCCATTCTCCTTAGGACTTTCATCAGGAAAAACCAAGATACCCTGTCATATGCCTTTGACATATCAAGTTTCAGCACCACATTTGTTAGCTTACCTCTTTTTCTAATATCAGTAACTATCTCTTGTGTGAGTAGGATGGTTTCATGATACTTCTACCATTCACAAATCCCGATTGATTATAAGATATTAGTTTAGGCAAGTATTTCTCAATTCTATCATGCACAATCCTTGATATTATCTTGTTGATGAAGTTGCTCAAACTAATCGGCCTCAAATCAGTGAAAGAATGGATCTGTTCTTTTTTGGGCAACAAAACTAGATTGGTGTGAGTAATAGATTTAGGAAGAGAGTTACCTTTGAAGAATTCTTGCACCATTTTAAGAACATCATTCCCAACCACCTCCCAGCAAGTTTGATAAAATCTACCAGATAAAACCTTTTGTAAGTGGATTCGACACATTATTCTTAGACATTACATAGTTAATCGTGATAATTCCACTAGAGAGTAGTTGTCTAATAGAGTTGTGTCTTTGACGTATGTGACGAGACTTGCCGTTATACATAACGCTTCTATCCCTTCCTATTGCAGCTTGACTATCGCAATGTATGCATATAAGGGTCATTGGTTTGGGCCAAAATGGAATATCTTCTAAGAAATTCCAGAGTCATTCTACTTTTTCACCTGCCTTGTCTAAGACGATGAATTCAGACTCCATTATAGAGCGAGCTATACATGTTTGTTTGGATGATTTAGAAGATATTCCTCCTCCACCAATAGTGAAAACATAACCACTCGTGGATTTAGTTTCAGTTACCCAGTAATCCAATTTGCATCACTATATCCTTTAACAACTGTTGGATATTTGTTGTAATGCAAAGCATAGTTTTAGTGTCATCTAAGTTCCCCAAAACCCTCTTTATTGCCATCCAATGAGTTTGATTGAGATTACTTGTGTATTAACTTAGTTTAATTATAATGCAGGCTATTTTTGGTCGTGTACAGTTCATGACGTATATCAAACTTCCAAATACTCTGGCATAATCCAATTGAGTCTTGCTTTCACCTTTATTCTTAACAAGATTATGGTTCACATCAATTGGTATCTTTGCCCTTTTGAAATTCAAGTACTTGAACTTTTCAAGTACCTTTCGAATATAATGAGATTGAGATAATGCTAGACCGTGAGGAGTTTTATGAATCTTAATTCCCAATATCAAATTGGTAACTCCTAGATCTTTCATACCAAACTTACAAACGAGCATACACTTAGTAGCTTTTACAATAGTAATGTCCTTGTTCATTAACAACATGTCATCTACATATGGCATACAATGACCCTTGATTTGGAACATCTTTAATGTAAACACATTGATCACATTCATTGATCTTAAATCAATTTGCCAATATGGTTCGATCAAACTTTGCATGCCATTGTTTCAATGCTTGTTTAGTCCATAGAGTGACTTAACAAGTTTGCATACTTTCTTTTCTTTACCAGGAACTATGAGGGTCTGTTCCATGTAAATCTCTTCCTCCATCTCTCCATTTAAGAAGGCGGTTTTCACATCCGTTTGATGGATATCAAGACCGTATACTGCATCTAGGAAAATTAACATCCGAACTGATGTAATCCTAGTCACTGGAGAGTATGTATCAAAATAATCAAGACCTTCTTTCTATCTAAAGCCTTTGACAACAAGTCTTGCTTTGTATTTGTCAGTAGTTCCATCATCTTTCATCTTCTATTAAAAATCCATTTCAAACCCCAAAGGTTTGTTTCCTGGAGTTAGATCAACCAACTCCCAAGTATGATTGCTTAAGATTGCCTCAATCTCACTATTGACAGCTTCCTTTCAAAAGGTTCAGTCTGTAGAAAACATAGCTTCTTTGAATATTTGAGGCTCACTTTCAAGAAGGAATGTTACAAGATTAGATACAAATAAAGTAGTTGTCCTTTGATGTTTACTGCGCCTTGGACTATTCATTAGGTACATTCTCTTTTGGTTGTTCTCAAGGTCGCTTAGACCCTCTACTAGATAACTCAAGTCTAGTTTTATACGGTTAGATATGTTAAATAATTCAGCATTATCTGATTCCATTACCGTATTGTCATGAATATCCAGATGATCGAACTTATGAACCAAAAATCGACATGCCTTACTATTTGTGGCATATCTAATGAATAAACAATCCATAGTCTTAGGTCATATTTTGACCCTCTTAGGTATAGGAACATGGACATTGGCTAGACACCCCCACAATTTAAAATATTTCAAGTTGGATTTTCTATCTTTCCATTTCTTATATGGAATAACATGTGTCTTGCTGTGAGGCACTCTATTGAGTATTTGATTTGCTGCAAGGATAGCTTTCCCCCACAAGTTTTGTAGTAAACCTGAACTTATAAGTAAGGTATTCATCATTTCCTTTGAAGTTTGGTTTTTCTTTTCCACAATTCCATTAGATTGAGGAGAGTATGGAGCAGTAGTTTGATGGATGATTCCATTTTCCAAATATATTTCTGCAAATGGAGATTCATATTCTCCACTTCTATCACTTCTGATAATTTTTATCTTTTCATCCAACTGATTTTCAACTTCAGTTTTATATTGCCTAAATGCATCTATTGATTCATCCTTACCATTTAGCAAATAAACAAAACAATATCTAGTGTAATCGTCAATAACAGTTATGAAATACTTTTTCCCACCACGTGATGGTGTTGACTTCATATCACAAATATCAGTGTGAATCAGTTCTAAGGGGTATGAATTTCTTTCAACAAATTTATAAGGATGTTTAGCATACTTAGATTCAACGCAGACTTGACATGTTGATTTATTGCCCTCAAAGTTAGGCAAAACATTTAAATTAATCTTTTTTCACAAGGTTTTGTTATTCATATGTCCCAAACATTCATGCCATAAACATTTTGACTCAAGCAAGTAACAAGAAGCAAAATCTTTATTCACATCAACTGCAATTACATTGAGTTTGAAAAAGCCTTGAGCTAAATTTTTCCTACATACATTTCATTCTTACTCACTACAACTTTATCAGAAAAAAATACACATTTGAATCCATTCTTGGTCAGAACTGGTATAGAAACTAAGTTCTTTCGCAATTTCGGAACATACAAGACCTTGCTCAAAGTCACCACCTTACACGAGGTCATCTTTAAGTAGATCTTGTCAGTTCCTTCCACCTTCGCAGCCGCAGAGTTCACCATAAACAACTTCTCATCCGCTGGCATTGGAGTATATGATGTAAATAATTCTTTGTTGGCACAAACATGACATGAGGCACCAAAATCTATCCACCATTCTCTTGGATTACCAACCAAGTTGCATTCTAAAAGCATTGCACAGAGATTGTCCATCTCTTCTTCGAATTTAGCCAATTTTACTTGATCCTTCTTCTTGTCCTTCTTAGGACCCCGACATTCAGTAGCCCTATGACCACGTTTGCCGTAATTGAAGTTGTTTCCATTGAAATTTTTCTTAGGATGATTGCTTTTTGGTCTTGATGCTTTTTTTCATTTCCTTGATTTTGTGGGATCTTCTTCAACAATATTTACTCCAGATATTGCTAAATTACTACGTGACCTCTTTTCTGCGACCTTATTATCCTCTTCCATTCTCAGCCTTACCATGAGATCTTCAACAGTCATCTCCTTGCATTTATGTTTCAAGTAGTTTTTGAAGAGGTAACTTCTCAATAATGGTCGCTACTTGAAAAACATCATTAACAACCAATCCTACATTAAAGATTATGTGAGTATTAAGAACACACTTAATATGTTCAACATAGGTATTATATAAAATTATACCTTCGGCAAAGAGGTCATAGATTATGACTTGTAGCTCTTGAACTTGGGTGAAACAGTCTTACTGTCTATCATCTTATAGTTTAGAAACTTTTCCACAATGAACTTTTTCATTCGACATCCCTGCTTTGTACTTCTTTCCCAAAGCATATCAAAATTCTTTTGAGGTCTTCACACTACTGCACATTGCACAGATCATCTTGCAGGACACTCAGGATATAGTTTTTGTACAAAAAAACTAAATTCTTCTATGCTTCTGTTACCAAAAATCGTTATTCGTCTAGAGTTTCATCCGATAGAATAGGAACGTTCTCACTAATGAACCTCTGTAGACTCAACGTAGTCAGATAGAAGAACATCTTCTGCTGCCATCTCTTAAAGTCGACTCCAGAAAATTTTGCAAACTTCTCAGCTGGTGCAAGGGCAGCAGTTGAATGATTGTGTGCAATCGATATTGTTGCAACACTTATTGTTCCAACATTTCCTGACTTGAATTAGTCATTTTTTTGTCAAAAATGGTAGAACATTTAGTATATGAAATACTAACATTAAAGAATAAATATTTATACAATATGTTTCTGATTAACGATGAAGTTTTTATGTTCTTCTAATCGTTAATCGAATGAATTTTAAAATTCAAACAGAGTAGAAAATAAGAAAAGTTTTAATCTCCAGAAACCTTAAATACATAAACATATATTAAATTTCTTAAACTTGTTATCTCCTGTATTCAGGATAGTAAAAATAGAAACAAAAAAAGATGAAATAGATAATCCGAGTCCATAGAATCCACTGTGTATCCTTAAGAAATTTGATACCCTCAAGTACCTGAGGCTGTAGATTAATTCCTCCCAAAACTAAATGGATTAACTATTAAAGAAGTAGCGGTACCTCAAACTTCAATAATTTTAGCGACCTCAAAAATTAGCAAAGAGAGAACACACAGACTCAGTCGATCGATAGTTTTATTTGTAAGAAAATTTATGTAGAAGAGAGAAAAAAATTTGTGTTTGGAAAATGAGAGAAGTCTCTCTATTTATAACAAATTTCAGCAAGGAACACGTTTGTTCGGACAAGAGTGTAAGGGCCTCTGTTCAAACATATCTTTCTAGAATGTTTGTGTCTTTTGGGAAAAGAAGTGTCTGTTCGAAAGGAACAATTCCATTTAGAGCAACTTTACCATAACACGGATTTTCAAACAATTTCGTTACGCGAAATTAATTATGATAATTAATTAATGAACATTTTGAATTAGTTTTTTAAGAAAAAAGAAATTAATTATTGAGATTGATTAAATAAATTTTGCCTAAAATATTATCAATCAATCATTTGCCAAAGCCAAAGCGGAAGCCAAAGCCAAGGCTAAGTGAGCAATGACGATGACGTGAGGGGCCACCTTCTACCTATTTCTTTAAGAGCTAAAGTATGTGTTTCCTAATATAAGGGAAAAAAAATTTCTTTCTTCTACCAATATGAGAGAAATGACTTTTCATTTCCCCTCCAAATTGGTTTTCCCACATTTCCCAATTTCTCATTTATTTTTATTTTCCATTCACACCTTGCTAAAACCCAACAATATCCGAGTAAATTTGATTAGGCGG